GGTTATTTAATCATCCCGGCACAATCCGACAACACGTTGCGTGTCTGTGTGTGTGCATTTGGTTGTGTGTGTGTGTGTGTGTGTGCTTCTCTTTGTAATCCCTCATTTTGCAGCATGTGCGACTCTGCCGATCCATGTTGTTAGCGTGCCGCTAACACGCTGGCCAGGCGTCTTGTCTGCAGCCCGCGTTTCTCTGATGAGCGCTGAATGGAGGCCTTCTTTAGCCATCTGCTAAGCTGCTGGCTAGGCAATGGGGGGGGGGGGGGCAAACAAACAGCAAGCACACAGCAATCGGTAGCTGTCAGGACGGCATAGCTGAGCTGACCCCGGCGGGTTCGGGGGCCGGCCGGGACCCGGGAGCCCTCTGTACTAGGCTCCAAGCGGACGGGCCGCCTGCCCGAGGCGCTGCTCACCCCCCCTCACCCCCCCTCACCCCCTCTGCACCTCCTCCCATATGCTGCATTCTGTCCTCTTTACTCTTCACACCCTGTCTGCGTCTTCCTGTGACCCCCCCTCTTCTCTCCCTCCATCATTCTTCTGTCTCCGCTCGCGGTTAATAACTTTGCTTTGGTCTTGTTTTTCTTACAGGCATTACCTGTTATGGGGAGAGAGGGAGGTGGAGGGGGTCCATGGGGGGAGTGTGTTGGACAAACAAAACAGGCTTTTTATTAAAGTCAGATTTGTTCTCATGTAAGTGCACGCACTGCCTTATTGTTTAAACGTGGATATTTGAAATGTTTAGTGTTGTCATAAATATTAATAGATTAGTTGAAAAGTGCAGCGAAGGAAAGGGAATCTAATGGTTGGGAGGGGGTATGAACGTTGATTTATTTATGTATTCTACATGAATCTAAACACAGAATGGAGAGTGTTGTTGGAAGGGCCCTGTAGTGCGCCGGGTCTGTGCATCGGGGCCTGTTTTCCATGTGGAGTGGCTTTTTGGAAATGGCATTAATTACATACTCACTGGGACTTTCCCTCCTTTGCATTGCAGATAAACGTGTTTTGCTGTGGAGAGAGAAGAGGGGGGGGGGGCAAGAAGGCAATTAATATAAATACAAATGATCCCGACCGCTCACGTGCTTAAAAAATCTCCCCCCGCTGCAATAAATAGAAAAAACTGTGAATTTCATTACTGTGTGTTTGCAGTGTGAAAACCCGTTGATGTAAATGTGTGGAAAGTTTCCATCAGCCCACGTTATTGATGAAACGCATTAGCGTAGCGCGCTAGCAGCGTGTGTCCAAGGAGCAGCTTCCCCTCCGAGGAGCCGAGGGGCCGTTTCTTTGAAAAGGGGAAGCAGCACGAGTGATAAATGTCAGGTGAGCTGAGACGTGCGATCAGTCGCAAAGTCCAGCAGATAATCTTGACATTTAGGCCCCCAACCCCCCCCCGACCAGAGGGCCCGGCGTCTTCAGAGCCGGACTACATTAAGAGCTCACCTATTACTCGTGTTGTTGCTCTCTGATGTCACACACACACACACACACACACACACACACACACACACACACACACACACACACACACACACACACACACACACACACAGGCACATCTCGTCTCCCTTTCTCCGAGTGGCCGCAGGGATCCGGTTACACCTGCCTGCACATCTTCTAGCAATTAGGAGCAATCTGCTCAAAACCGTTCCACGCTCGTCCCCCGGCCGTGGGGGGGTGAGCTGGGCGTTTCCAGAGCTAAAGAGGTATCTGTGCTCCCCCACCTGAGGAGCCGTTCCCTCCCCCCACATTCAGCGGCATCATCCCAGTTTGCTGTCGGATCCCTCTCCTCCTTCGTACGCGCTTCGACTTCGGCACCGCGGGTCAGCAGTCGCATGCAACGAGATTAAAGGGAGACGCGTCTGAGATCCGTTTTACGTCGTTGTGTCTTTGAAAAACAAGGTGCAGTGGGGGGATTCGGGCAGAGAGCAGACTCGACTGTGTGGCAATGCTCTGAGCCGGGATTTGTCAGACACCCAGAGCCGGCTTTAGCAGCAGGAAACCCCAAAGCCTGTAAATAATCCGCATGTGCAGCCTGCACATAAAGACATCCAGTACTTAGCGGTTCCCTTATCGCAGCGTGATGGCCGAGGGACACGCCAGAGACGCTCCTGCCCCTATTTGCTAATATGCAAGTAGATGCAGATAAATCAAATGCAATAAAACGCCTGTTGTTTATTGAGGAAGTTGCGGTAACTCTTGTAAAAGGCTGTGAACTATGAACACATTTCAGAGGGTGGACGCAAAATTGCACCGGCTTTGTTGCTGATAAAAAAAAAGAAAAAAAAAAGAAAAGAAAACTTTTGTCTTTTGCTGGAGGATGTTTTCTAATCAGAAGCACCTGCAGGCTTCAGTGTGTGTGTGTGTGTGTGTGTGTGTGTGTGTGTGTGTGTGTGTGTGTGTGTGCACACACATGCAATGCACGCGTCCCGTTCTGACACTCGCACCTTTCTGAGTAGGACATGAAAGAGGGTGCATTCCAGAGGAGGAGCGGGTGCTGAGTAAACATTGCAGTGACAGTTCACAACGGTCATTCTGGCCCCCGTTGGGCCTCAGAGGCACCACAGGCCTGTTTGAGAGAAAATACAAACATGACTGCAGCATTCCTCCGGTTCTCAGCCGGCACGCTGCTTTTGTCACCTATTTTCTGCACCAGCAACACCTTCTACTCATCTGGTGTCTTTCAAAAAGTTCACTCGGTAACTCCACACAGTAACGTTATTAAGACGGCATTTCCAGGCGTTAGCCGCCCGGCAGCGGTCTGATTTTAGCTAATTCAAATCGTTCCGTTGCTCCGGTTATAAAAAGGTAGTTTGGATTGAACAGTTACACAAACTGACCGATGGAGGCGACTGACGCCTCCTGCTCGGGGGAAATACTGCTGGTGACTTCCAAGACCCTCGACTCCTTTCACAGCTTTCCTTCGTCTGAATTAAAGGTTAACAGTAACAATATATATATATATATATATATATGTTTCTTTGCGTTTCTGTAAATGTACAGTAGAAAATAGACTATGGAAAAGAACCTCA